GCCATGACTTATGGGAATCAAGGAAGATGGTCAGAAAGAAAGAAAAGGAAACGGATTAAACTCACATTTTAGCTAATGTCTTATAAAGAATAAATTGATAGTGTTATAATAAAAACTAATTGTAGGTAACATTTTAAAAAAGTTTGGAAGTGGTGTAACTAATTTGAAAAGAAAAAAAATTAGTGATGATCAGACCAATCCAAGATGGGTTGGACCAAATTATACACGGATGAAGGTTGAAGACTTTGGGCTATGTATAAGCGTAATAAATGGGCTTGAGATGATTTCTGTATGTGTAAGGGCTATTGAATGATTCTAGCATAATGGAAGAGACTGAGGGTACCTACAAAGACACTCTGACGCTCAAGTCAGTATCAATGCTAGGTTTATGTTATATTAAATTGAAATCAGATTATCATACTTGGTTTTGTACCCCTCATATTTATAGCAAGTATTATGCCGCCTTTTGTAGGCATCATACCTTCTTATTGGTTATCATGGACTGCTGCCCTTCTGTCTCAGTTGGTGCCTTTCTGCCTTATTTCCTTGGTGAACAAATATATATATATATATATATATATATATATATATATATATATATATATATATATATATATATATAATAGCCTATCTTATTAGTGTGGTGGCAAGCTGGAGCTGTCTTCCTCGTGTTGGCCCTTACGCGCGGTGGATCTCATCCTATTATGAAGACTTTCCTTGGCCTTTAAGTCATATAAGGCGGCTTAATATTATAATCCGCGCAATGCTTAATATATGTATTCTGCGTAAATCGTAATGGAATTATTGCTTGGGCCCTTTCTGGCTTTAAACCCCATGAGCCTAAACTAACATTCTAACGTTTTAAATTAAGTAAAGAAAAAAATTACAAAGTAAGCTGCTATAATTGAACCTTTTTAAGTATTCATACAGATGTAATAAGGGTAGTTAGGATCGTTTACCAAAAAAAAATAAAAAATATTTTTGTTAAAATCTATACTCACAATGTGATTCTTCCGTTGAGATATGAAGTTTTAAATTGTTATTTGTAAGTTCTCATTGTTAGGTAAAAGGGAATTTTTTGTTTGTTTTATTAGCACATTTGTAAATCTATTATTTATATTTTTTATTAGCACATTTGATGATATGGCTTAATTATTGGTCTATGTTGGAGAGAATTATTTTTATGTAATTGATTCATTTATGGTATAAAATTATTGAGAACTCAATAATGAGTATTGTGGATTTGTCTGAAGAAATCTCATACTAAATAGAAATGGACAAAGTAAGAAACACAAGGTGAAAGGACCACTATCTCAATGGCTTAATATAAAATTATTGTTTTATAAGAAGTGAAGAGGAAGAAAAAGAAAAAGAAATTGTAAGATTTAGAAAAGACCAACTGTCCAATATTTTGGTCAAATGGTCCAATACAAATCCAAGCCCAAATCATGCGAGTGCAAAAGTCATACTCCGTACTCAAATCTTCAAGCTCAAAAACAACACAAGACAATAAGTGGGGCTGAATGACCAAGTCCAAAGAAATTGCATTTTTTAACATTATAGCACTCTGTATCGTTAAAATATTTCGTTTATTTTATTTTATTTGAAAACATACTGTAATTACTTTTTTGAAGTGAGTAGATTTTCTTGGTATTTTCACAAATTTTGACGCTTTAAGTCGGCTATAGAACTAATCAGAAATGCGGGACGGGTTAAGTATAAATATTTTAAACCTCTCTAAAAGGTGACAAATGAGGATCGAACCGAAACTCTTTTCTTTTCACTACTTACCTTTTATGTATCAACTTAACTACCTTTATTTGATACTTTATTTATTTAACTGACATTTTACAGCCTAATATTTTATTTTATCAAATTTACATATATAATTGTCAAATTTGATCCTTGAAATGATCCATAAAGTAAATATTATCCTCTAAAGTTCACAACTAGAGTTAAAACAAAAAAATTTAAGCATACACAAATTTTCATCCAAACAAATTAATACACCTTCAAAGTTTTGAAAGAGGAAGGATATTATTACTATTAAAATTTTCTACTACCAACTCACTACTTATCTAATTACCTTTGGATCAACCTTTTCTTTTTTTCAAAAACTTTTTAGCATTCTCTCTCTTTGATCCAATTGTGATTAGATAGGTAGTAAGTTAGTAATAGAAAATTTTAATTGTAAGAATATCCTTCCTTTTATTTTAAAAGCCTTAACAATTATTCCAGTAAACGAGAAGTTTTTTGGTGAGCCTAGACTATGGTAGTCCCTCCCTAAAATAGAAAAAAAAATGAATTAAAAGGAAAAAAATTAAAAAAAAAGATAAAAGTGAAAGAAGTTTTCCATTTATAAAAAAACAAAATCACTGAGTGATCGTCTGGAACCTAATAATTTTTTTCCCAATAAACAATACCCTTAAAAAGCCTATAGTGTCAGGATTTTCTACTTTGAATACTTGCATTGCAGGTGTTGCCGGTAAAAAGGTTGGCAATATAAATAGAAAGTTGTGCATTTGGACAAAAATGGACGCCCATGTCCCCTTCCTTAGGTCCATCATCATCATCGTCATTATCTCCTCTTTCTTCTTTGTTTTCCATAATTAATTTCAATGACCCCCTCATTGTGATAAAAAATAAGCATTGTCCATTGAACACGGATTTTGCGTTGATCAGTGAGTCAAAAGTCTTGCACCCATTTTCTATTTCTAATATAAAAATGGTCATATCAGTTATTAGAAAGGGGCAGATTGATGTTATGTTTGTTAGGGAGGGTAAATTTTTGAAATAATTTTGAATGAAGGGCAATTTGATAATTAATTATTAATTAAGGGTCATAAGGGTCAAAAAGCCTGAACTTATAATAGTCTTCCTATTATAAGTACAGGCTGAACTTAATTAATCAAGACTCTTTACATATTTTTAAATTATTATTTATGAATTACAAAGCATTTGTATTCGGGAGAAACCTCTATACTTCAAAAAAAAAAATTGGTTCAATTTAATTAGGTTCAATTATTATATTATTTAGTGCTAGTGCAGGCCAGAAACAAGAAGGAGAAAATTCAGAAAATGCAACATGTGCTAATTTCGGTTTTAAAAATCGTATGTCAAATGATGAAACAGTGACCATTTTGTCCCGTTTGGGTAAAAAAATTACCAGCCACGTCAACGGTAAATTTTGCCAAAATGCCACGCGGCATAATTCGTTACGTAGCGAATTATGCATGCAAGTATTTCGCTACACAATGTAGCAAAATATGTCACGTCAGAACCAAAAATGCCACATGTTAAATTTTGAAAAATTTGCTACCCTATGTAACGAATTCTCAAAATTTGACATGTGGCATTTATTTTTGGTTCTGTGTATTCTGGCGTGCCATATTTCGCTACACTGTGAAGCGAATTACTTGCATGTATAATTCGCTACACTGTGTAGCGAATTATGTCGCGTGACATTTTGGCAAAATTTACTGTTGGCATGAAAGTCTGATAATTTTTTTGTCCAAACATAACACTTTGATCATTGTCGCGTCAAATGATCTCGAGAACGGAAGAAAAAAAAAATCTTGAAAGCAAATGTACTGCATTTAACGGTACTTATCTCCCTAATGACAGTCTCACTCTTTCTTCCTGAACTACTTCTCTTTCTCCATCTTTTCATGAGTTCTTTCCTTTCATAATAGATTGACTCTTATTTGTCTTATTCCATCTATCACTTCAATCAATAGATTTGTCCAGTGTGGGTTTTCTAGTCACTGTGACTGAGAGTTGAGTTGCTGCATTGATCCATTTGAAATCTCATTACCATTCTTAGTTACCATTACATTCTGATTAATGTCGTATGAAGTAATAATTTTGTGAAATTACTTTTTTTTTGTTGTTGCGAAAGTTCATAACTAAGTGGTTACAATATTTTCGAAAATACTTTTTGTTTTTCTGCTGATGCCCTAGAGCCGTAACACCAAATACTACTTAAACGTTTGGTTTCGTGATCTACGTTTTAACAAAATTAAAGAGCCATGTTTTATTGAAGTTTATATTGAAGGTACTACCTGTCTGGTAACATATTTACGTCAATATGGGAACAATGACTATTGTGCCACTGTTCTCACACAAATATATCAAAATGCCACGCGCGTAAACTTATTTCTCAAACTGCCACGCATGCAAGGTCGCTTGGAGCAGTAGCGAACTATGCATGATGAGGTGTCAGCAAGCTGGTAGTGTCAGAGTTCGCTTCTGACACAAACGACCTATGTTGCAATTAATATAAATAAAGACAAAGAAGGCAAATGAGAGAGAAAGAAAATTAAAAGAGGAAGAGAGTGAAAGAAGAAAAATAAGAGAGAGAGAGAAAACGGAGGGGAAGGGGGCGCTGGGATGACGGGGGAGAGGGGGGTTTTATATAGGGGTGAGAAAAGTGACCGTTGCATCAAGTTCGCCCAAGTGGGACGCGACCTTGGTGCATGTCAGCCACGTGGCACTAGCCGTTGCACACAGGTCGCCCAGATGGGGGGCGACCTCTGTTGCATGTCAGCCACGTGTCATGGCAGGTGAGGCATTAATTGCAACAGAGGTCGCTTGTGTCAGAAGCGAACTTTGACATCACCAGCTTGCTGACACCTCATCATGCATAATTCTCTAATGCTCCAAGCGACCTTACATGCATGACAGTTTGGAAAATAGGTTCACGCGCGTGGTATTTTGGTATATTTATGTGGGAACAGTGGCACAATAGTCACTGTTCCGTCAATATGCAAGTTTAATGTTTCTAATATGCTTTTCACCAATAAATATTAAAGAGAAAAGAAAAAAGAATAGCTACTAAGGAAGCACTGGTTGTTTAGATTAGAGAATTTGGTTGGAGCTTATAATTCAAAATCTGATATTAACATAAAAAGTTATTAAAAGAAGAAAGAAATAGAAAAAGTCATCTTATCTGAACTTGCAACTAAAAGAATTTTTTTTTTTTAATAATGATATAATTATATAATCATTTAAAAGATGAAATTTCATAACTAAGGAAGCTTTATCATCTATACAAACATATCAATTTTAAAAGGTTATTCGCATCAGTAGATGACAGAATTCAGACTTTAACTGGGTATATTCTACCAGTTGATGCTGTCTCTACTTATGTATGTAAACCTAGATAAGGTTAACAAGTAGAAACGTAAAAGAAGGTTCCTTTATCCACTAGCATTTGGTGTTGTAGACTTGCTCACAGCATTTGAATCTGGTGATGGTGGAGGTGGGTCATCCTTCAGCAACACAACATTTTCTGTTGAGCTTGAGATATCCATTACCTCGGGTTGGCTTTTATATTTTCCATCACTTTGTATATACTTGAGAGTATTAAACACTTCTTCCATAGAAGGCCTCACATCTTTGGAACTTTGCAAGCATTGAAATGCTAATTCAGCTACAGCATTTATCATTTTCCTTACCTTGTAATCTGATTCAAACCCAAGAGTTGGATCCACAAGCTCATGCAATGCCTGGTTATGAATCTTGTTAATGGCCATGTTGGATAAATTGATTTCATGCCTATGCCTTGTGATATCAACAGCAGGCAAGGATGATATCAACTCAATCAACACTACTCCAAAGCTATAAACATCACTTTTGTTAGTAAGCTGGTAGCACTCATGATACTCTGGATCCACATAACCTGGAGTCCCTTGTGGAGCTGTTGAAACATGACTGAGATCGTTTGGAAAAAGACGTGAAAGTCCAAAATCTGCTACTTTCACACGAAAGTGATTGTCAAGAAGAATATTATTGGTTTTCACATCTCTGTGGATGATGCCAGAAACATGTAGATAGTTCAATGCACTAGCAGTCTCTACGGCAATATCCATTCTAGTATGCCAAGAGAGTGTTCCAGGTTTGGCTTGTTCACCATGAAGATTATCAGCAACAGTTCCATTAGGAATGTACTCATATACAAGCAGAAGTTCACGGCTGTGTCGAGAAGTGCATCCATATAGTGATACAAGATTTGGGTGGACTAACCTAGTTAGGATTTGAACTTCATTTATGAATTGCTCCACTCTCCTGCAATTGTTCTCATACAACCTCTTCACTGCAACACAACGTCCATCTCGCAGTTTGCCTGGACAAGAAACATCAGAAGACATAAATCAATGTAAGAGATTATTGAAAGCACAAAGATGCCAATAAATACAACAAAAGGATGCTTGTTTTTACCAAAATACACTGTCCCAAAACCCCCTTCTCCTAGTTCTCTGGATGAATCAAAGTGGTTTGTGGCCTCTTCAAGTTCACTGTATGCAAAGAGGTGTGCTCCAAAGTATTGACTTCCCCTCTCAGGATCTTTTAAAGATGGTTCAGAAGAGAAGCTCTGAGATTGTACATATGACTTTGCATAACTATTCTTCTTTTGGCGCCGATAGAAATAAAATGCAATGGACGCTACAAGTGTTACGAACACAGCAGAACAAACACCTACGAAGAAGTCAAGAGCCATAGAAAATTTCAATTCATATATTATTATTGATGAAACAAATACTAGAAAAATAATGAAAAATAAAATATCAAGGAAAATGGCATCAATTACCTATAATGATTATCGTCTTCGAATTCAATTTCTCTGCAACAATTAGCAGCAAAAGGAAAGATGAGTTAGAGCATTGTGCCAATTCAAGGAGGATATTCTACTTGAATCTAACAAACGTAAACATGTATATTTATGTACATTCACCAAATGCTTCATGAAGAAAGTAAGCACTAATGTCTATGGTCTAATAAAAGAACCTGTAGAAAGGCAAAATGGGAAATACAAATAACTGTATACTACACTAACATCAGACAATTCAAAAATTAACCAATCAATATTCGTTTTCCATTTCAAAGTAATGATATCACCAGTTCCTGACTGGAGAGCATTTAGGTTGTTTCCTTTAAATTCTAAACATAAAGAATACTCAATTTCAGCCAATTTTCTGCATATTTAGATGATAAGCAATCAGTGCCTGACAACTGACAAAGACGTAATCACATTGAAAGAAGGACAAAAAGTTATAGGTAGCTGAATCTTTTCAACACACAGTTGATGATGACATCAAACAACTACACAATTGATTTTGTTACTGTGTCTATAAAAACACAAAGAGCTCTTATGGCTGTAAGTGTGGCCGCACATTATGTTAATGACACACATTTTGAAATAGTGAAACCATAGTCATCTTATCTGTAGATATACTTTAAGATGTGTCTGAGAGGTCAAAAGGAAAACCAATGTTCTGTTATAGTTAATTGGTTAGCATATTCTGAAATGGCATATTAGCAAAGAAACTGCATTGTACACAAAAGAGAAAGAAAAAAAATGAATAAAGGGAAAAGAAACTGCATACAAAGAGAAGAATGCTTGCTTAAGAAACTATATAAAGTACGATCAGTATATTTTCCAAATGTTTTACCACCACCACAACTTTTTAGGTAGGACTTATCCTTGCAGAAGCAGAGGAACTGAGAACCATCAAAGCCACAGCGTCCACCACTTTTCTCACAGTACTGGCAATCAGGTGCAGTCCAATTCAAAAGAAACCCCATCTTCAAAATTTCAGTGTAATTCATTCGCAGTAAGCTACTGAAATTAACAGCAGCATTCATGTACAATGGTGCATTAACCATAAACTGACACTCATTAAAGGAGTTTTTGTGCTCCAGTGCCTCCTTATGAAAAACAGCAAAAGAATAATGTGTTGCATTTTTAGCACAGTCAACACCGTAAGTGGGGTAATCTATTGGTTCTGTGGTACAGTTGTAGAAGAAAGAGAGATTGGAATTTTCAGAACTATAGGAAAATGGAGTTTGATCAAGGCTGTAATTATAGATAGGAGCAGGACACTTGTCCTCAAAGACAGCAATGTTGGTTGCAGTAAATGAAGAGTTAGAGTAAGAGATATCTTTTACTAAAAAATCATAATTAGATGCTGTAAGAATTGGATTTTTGTCCTTGCAGGTGATCTCAAACTGAGGATAGCCACAATATGGTTCCTGTTCATAAGGAATCCAGAAAGGATACTTAATGGCTGGGCCATTTCCACAGCTTTGAGGTGTACAAGCCTCAAATTTTGGATTAACAGATAGAGCAGTGGTAGACAAGAAGAAGATAATGGTAATAATGCATAGTTGAGGTTTATTGTAATGGAAGAAGATCTGAAGGATCATTTAGTGCTTGAGACTTGAAAAAGAAAAAAAGGTAGCACAGAAGAAAAGAGAAGAGAATTTGGATGGAGTCTGAGGAAAGCCTTCAGAGGAAATTTCAAGGTGGTTGGTAGGTATGTATAGTGGAAATTTATCCAAGAAAATATGCTACTATTTAATAATGGAGTTTATTAAGATTGGTGTTTGAAAAGACAGAGGAAGACAAAATAAAAGTTCAAGCAACAGATAACCAGAGATTGGCTCATTTACAAAGATTGGAAAAGTAGGCCAACTCACAATCTTTGTTTTCCTGAACTAAGAAGAAACTTGCAGTTTTGTGAACTTGTTAAGGGTGTTTTTGTAGTTTTATAGGTGGGGGTAGATAATAACTTGTCAAAAGTTGAACCTCCACAATGGGAAGTAGGTGAAGTACCTTGCAATAGAAGTGTGCAGACACCATTTTTTGTAGTCATATAATAAGTATAGACAAATAACTGAATACTATTGAGAATTAAGATACCCTACGTCATTCCCAGTAATAGTGACATCACAGTGATACTTCACATAATGTAATATATTATGAAATCAATTAGTGATCAATTGCTAAGTTAGGTGTTTTGTACTTTAAAATACAAATTAATAGCCAAGAATTATTTTTAGAATAAATACATTTTTTGTGCAAATTTCACAATTGGCCCTAGCAAATAAAAAGGTTACTGAGAAATTCAAAATGAACTCATTTAGTTGAAAGTGGTCCTTCACAAATTCAAAAAAGACCCAAAGTCTCTCAAAAGTATTAAAAAGTCCACTTTGAATTTGGCGAATAGCCTTTTTATGCACAGAAATTTGTAACTGTATTTACTCTTATTTTTATCCTTTGATTGGCCCCATTACTTCCATACCTACAGAATAAATTTAATAAGCAACAATGGGAAGCACAGAATTGTAACTGCATGCAACTGCAAGTATGGAATATTGTTGGCTGCACTTAATTAAAGTTAGATAAAGTCATCTATATAAATTTTACACACTTGTGACTAAAAGCTATGGATATAAAGTTTGCATACTTATGACTAAAAGTTATGTAAATAGTAATATTATAAAAATGAATGATCTTTTGTGAGGGGACAAAAAAATGAATAAGTGAATGATTTTAATTAGTGTGAATTTTGTAATTGAGAGTGGAGAAATCAAAGCATGTTTTTCAACATCAATAATTTAAAATTTTCTAAAGTAGAAGAAAGCTGAAAATGAAGTCTATGACAGCGAAAGACGTGTTGGACCAGAAAGAAGGAATATATAAAGACTTGCTGCAATTTCATACAAATGCAATACAACAACTCCGTTGACAACTGAAATCACCAATTTACCCTTAAGATGTAGTTGTTGCCAAATCAATAATTGGAAATGGATCCTCTAAAAAAAACATGACATGGTCATGTGAGAAGATCACAACCATACAAAGGTAAATCAACGGTTATGATTTTGTAATTACTTATTTTAATATATATTTTCTCTCCTCCTTTATTATTATTGATGTACCTTTGTATGGTTATGATTTCTCACATGACATAGTCATGTGATTTTTCACATTAGAGGATTCATATCCTCAATGATTTGCCTGCTTTTCTTTTCTTCTTTCCCTTGCCTGAGTCACAGTGAAAAAATTGACCTATGACAAACATCTTAACGCTATTTTATTACTGTCACTTATCTGAGATAAGCTTCAACCAATTGATTGCTTTGCCCCCACAAAGGTGCAAAGTTTCAATCAACTAAATCCATATTAAATTGTTTTATTAACAGTGAGATGATTGAATAATGGTTGTAAGTATAGAAGCTAGTGAAATGAAAGTAAAAGAAGAAAATAAAAGGAAAAAGTATGGATCATATGTATTATTATTTTTGTCTAAAGAACTTTGTTCATAATTGTAGAAAAAAAAATTATAATTATAATTTCTAAAATCAAATTAATTGTTATAAAAATAATATTAAATAAAAACTATTAATTTAATTTTGATTCAACCATAATAAAAGTAGGTAGAAGAAGAAGAAATGAGAACGGAAAAATCAAATCATGAATAACTGGAGAGCATATTCTAAGGGAACTTTTAATTATATCATTGACACATTCAAAGGTAGACGTTGGATCTAATCTAAGTGAAGCTGTGAAGAAGGAAAAACCCAATACTTGTACGGGACCACTAGAGAAGGACACAGCAAGACTTGGAAAAATATGCAGTCAACGACTCTGGCTTTTCCTCAAAGCTCAGTCAACAAACGTAATCGTCACTTAAACCTCCGAAAGATTATTAAGTAAATTTGGGTTTGAAAACACCTTCTAATATGGAATATTATTATTAATTATTTGCATTCTAATTATGATCTTTAATTTTTTTCATTACTTATTACTATTAACTCATATTTACGAAGTAACACACATGTAACAAAATAATACAATATAAAATTTTTATCTCAGCATATACCTAAGATTTATGTTTTAAAGTTTCGCTAATTGGATTTAACGAGAAGTGATTTTTTATATATCTAAGAATTTATTTAGCTGTCCTAGTATTTATGTTAATAAAGTTTCGACAACTAATACCGAAACCCATAGCAATGCATTATGGTACTTGCTAAAGAAGTAGGGAAAAGGATTACTGTGTAAGAAACTACAAAGCCTCAACAAGAAATAGGAATAGGAACTCCAGCATAAAAAAGTGTTAATTGGTAAGTTGATCAAAGTCCCTTAGGAACAAAAATGGATGAAAACACCCCACCAAAAAAAAAAAAAAAATGGATGAAAACATAATCAAATGCATAACATGGGAAGATTTCAACAAGAGCCCAATAGAGGGTGTGGGTTCTTCCAAACTGTAATTTGTTCTGTCATACTTGGCAAGAAGGAATTGATTAGTGACAAGGTGGTCAAGCCTCTGATTTGTTTAATTAGAGGGGTCCTAGTTCTATAGATTTCCTAATGGGAATTGGTATCTAGCAAGATACTATTCTAGCAAAATTGTATTGTATCATTCAAAATCTAATATTTGAAGACGGTCTTAAAATCAGTATGAGGAAAATGGTAGATGAAGTAATAAAGAACAAGAGGGGTAAAGAAAACATACTATTAGAACCTCGACCATAGCAATGAATAGCATCAGATCCATCTTGGCAATAACAGGTAAATTCATGAGAAGTTAGATTGACTCCACATGCTCCTTTACTATCCAAACATACTATGCATTCTTGAGCGTGTGGATCATGAATAGTATAGTTCACCTCAAACTCAGCATCCAAAGCTCTTTTCAGAGCATCAAATCTATTGCCAGCAAGTTCAAGAGGAACCTCAATCGGCACTTGGATATGTCGCTCGCAGTACTTAAGCTCTGGAAATTCATTCAACAGCTCATCCTCCTCACCCACTCGATAGGTACCGTTCCCATTTCTGCACATGAAGTTGTATTCAGGATATTCATGATAGGAATCTGAAGAGGAACAGTTGTAGAAAATGGTGATGTTTTCCACAATTTCTATATACGCGAAGAGGGTTGGGTTCAGGTTCAAGTAAATGTCATCAAATGTCGGAGAACAAACATCATTGAACCTTTGCTTCATTCTAATGGTGTAAGCTGTTGTGTCGATATGCAAAACTTGGAAATTTTGTAAGCCATTCAGAATGGTGGTATTATCATTCTGACACTCAAGTTTGAAATCTAATTCGTGGCCACCGCCACAATATTGGGGTCTGTTCTCTCCCCAGAAAGGGTAGGAGATGTTGGACACATCTCCACAGTTGTATGGCAGCTTGCTACAGTTGGTGTATTTGGTCTCTTCTTCAGAATGGGACTGTGGCAAATTGGTTAAGATGAACAAAAACACGGTGGCTATGGTTGCAAGGACTAAGCGTATATCAATATTATCATCCATTCTTTATCGACAAGGCCCTTACAGTTACTTACTTAATGCCACACAAATTATATATATCATAGCTTTTAAAAGTGTTTTTCTCTTTCTCGAGGAGAACGAGGACTAGGACGAGGTAGAGGTAATGTTCAAAATGATGGCCACACGATTCCCACGACCATATAATCAAAGCAAGAGTCACCCGTGAAACTACCTATGAGTTTCCTATGTCACTGTATCACATCGATTGACCAGAGAAATTGACTTGAAATTTTTAAAAAGACGAAAGTACCACTGAGTTTCCTAACTTTACTCTTTTGTTTTTCCTTTGTGGGTCAATTTTTTTAAAATAATATCATAATGATATATAATCAATTTCTTATGATTGTCTATATATAAATTTGTATAGTATCATATTGCTTTTTTCTTATCCAAAGAGTTTACTTTAGAGTACTCATTAGCTATGGGTACTTTCTGCTTTAATTAATTGAGTTCAAACCTTAGTTAATACCTATGGAAAAAAGAAAACTTAAAATCTTTCTTTACATGTAATTCGTTAATTCTATATTCTTTTTGTCCTTATTTATCTATCTTACTGTAACTCAAATAGTATCATCTTAATTCTTTTAAGAGAATAATGAAGGGTCTATTTTAAGATTTTCTTTTTTAAACAAATTGTTATTTTGAGTGATTGATGCAACATAGTTATAAGTATAGATTTTAAATAGAGAAAAATTAATTACACTTATAAAATTTCTGTACATATCTTTGGTACTAGTATGTACTCTTTATTAAAAAATAAAAATGTATGACTCAAATGAGAATGACCATAAAATAGTGGGTAAAACCATAAAATAGTAAAAGTCAATTATATTAGGATACCAAAAAAAAAAGTCAATTATATTACTTTTTTTCAAATTTAATGAAAATATATATTAAATCTTCAGTACTACGGCAATATGAAAAATATTTTCAAAATTTCTTACATACCTTCGGTATATTAAAATGAAATATTTTTATTGTTAAAATAGCAAGCAAAAGTTAAGACAATAAGTTAACAAAATTTCAATTTAAGTTAGATAAAGAATTCTATATGGACAACTAACATTTTACCTTTTTAATAAAAAAAAGGTGCTTAGTACTGCTTTTATAGCGTTAACTAACGTTAAATGCAGCGGATTTGCTTTCAAGAATTTTTTATTTTATTTATTTTCTTCGTCTTCAAGAAATTAGGACATAAGCCTTGTTTGAATATTGTTCCTAAAAATATTTTTTTGGTTTTAAAAAAATACAAAAAAAAACCTATTTGATAAAGTCGGTTTTATAAAAAAAAATTTAAAAATTGTTGCTATTTTTTTATTTTTTGAATCAAATTTAAAAAATATGTCTGCCTTGTTTTTATTTTGTATTTTGACTTTAAAAAAAAAACACATAAAACACATATTTTTATAACTATTCTACAAAACAGTTTAAAAAAGAAAAAACAATCAAACAAACCCATTTCTGAATTCTCACTTTCTTGATCCTGGCCTGCACCAGCACTATTTATTTAGCTGTCCATGCTTCCAAATATAAAATATTTTAAAGTTGACACCTAACATCTTGACCTCTACCAAGACGAGCACTAGAAACATATGGGATAATCTAATTTTGTTTATCTATGTAAATGTATCAGTTGCTGACTAGTAAGTAAACTGCTGACATGTGTACTTCATTACAAAAGTAACACAACTTATTCATCAATGACTTATTCATATTTCAATTTATATTATATATGACCATAGTTAGGACATCGACATCAACATCAATTTGTTACTTAACAATGTTTTGGAAATGAATTTATTTAAATAAACTAGTTGCTAATTTGTACAGTCTGTATCTAATAGAATAGAACGTAACCTATCTGGCTTATAAAGTTTACTCAATTTTGTTATCAAAAAAAAAAAAAAAAGTTTACTCAATTTTTTGATTATTATTTCTGAAGTTAAATTAGCATACGAATATTAATAATGTTCTGACCACTATCATAGATTAGTCTGTCAAAATCAAACGTATTATGATAGCTAAGGACTTGGCTAAAGGGTGGTAAACTGGGAGCTATATAGCAAGAAGGTTTGAAGGTATCTGATCGTAGTTCTTGATTTTGGAGTTGTTAATTTTTAGTTTTAAAATTTTGTTTTAATTAATTTAAAATATTTCCAAGAAACCTTAAAGATCGATCCAACTTTGGTCACATAAATAAGTTAGTTCTTGATACATCAATACTCATAGGAACAACAACCCCACTCTTTTTCACTATTACTTCTATGACTAGAGCACTTGCCAAAGTGACAATATAATCGCATCTACAAATTCGTATAACCAAAAAAAAAAAAAAAACAAGGTCTCTTATCATCAGTTAGGGGAGCCCAAAACAGGGGAAATCTTAATGGACTAACCGAGTAAATTCCCAACATCACCATTCTCATGGTATATATAACTGGATATGTTAATATCTCCAGCACTCTGAAACTTTGTAACCGATTTGAATTGAAGTATTTTGATTACACATGCAATGAGGCTTGAATTGGTCGCTCCACACAGTACTGGGTTGGACACTTGTCCTTACTTAGTATGGCCTTCAACACACTGAGTATCTGGTGTCATGTTGAGAGTGGGATTGTGGAAAGGTGGTTAAGATGAAGAAACAGATGGTAACTACTGACGTGAGGAGTAAGATTATGTGGTTATGATCATCCCATTGTTGTGTATGGACACATTGAGTTAATGCTACTGATATATCTATCTCAGCTTTCAGGATTGAGGAGTTCATCTGTGACACTATGTTCTCCTGGGAGAAGATAGTGTAATTTGTAAAAATTTGTAAATGGATACTTCCCTATTTTACTACTAGGAAAATGATAGGTAAGATTTGAGCAGGACACAAAATTTATTTTGTGAGGGAGAAAAGTTGGTAGAGACTGAGAAAAAGGAGGGAGGTGTTGACCAAGGATGGGGTACATGTAAATTAAGCTAAATATTAGGTGGAATACTCATTCCAACTAAGCTACAAAAATGTTCTGGCTGTACAAGCGAAAGAAGAGCCACTCAGGAATCAAAACATTAGGTGGATGGCACATTCCAAATAAGCTTAATTTAAAAAATAAAAAATAAAAATTGTTTCTTATTCCTGGCCTGCCCTATTTGTTTCCCTCTCCATAGTGGCAACCTAACCTAGCCATCTTAATCTCTGACACGATGAGCATTATAATTACATATGTTATTATTATATTTTTGTTTATCCAAACAGATGTATCTGTCTTCATCCCAAAACCCTGGCATGACTAAACCAATATAGCTTATGTAGCAATGACATATTCCGTATTGCAATTTTTAAATGCCTAGTACTGCATCAACAACAACTTACTAAATAATAATTGTTTAGAAATGAATTAATTAACATAAACTAGTTACTAATTTGTATCAGCCGAATTCAATAGAGCAGACAGTAACTATCTGGCATATAAAATTTACTTATTTTTGAGTTATTTTCTGAAACATAATTATTATATCAATCCACTTAAGATTAGCATACACTAGTGACAATAACAATCTGACCTCTCTCATATATTAGATTGCTAGATTCAAACGTATTATGATAAATTGATAATCATCTCTATGTTAAATTCCAGTAGAAATGGGTGAGGCCTCAACAGAACAGGAAGTAAGAAGTTGAAAGAGTTAACTGAGGGTTAAACAAATTCATTATACCGAAATACATTTCAGGGGCAGATAACAACTTTGAAGTTTTCAGAACCAATCCAAAAGTGGGTTATGAAGGTCCCAATAGTATCTGTGCTTGTTCTATTGTAATTTGCTTGCAATTAGCAAGCAAGTTGTTCTATTCTATTTGTCAAAGACCAAGTCTTCTAAGAGAGTAAGTTGTCAAGTGAAGCTTCATGATTGGTTTTATATCTCTAACACTATTGATGAAAGGGATAAGATTCTGTTCTGACAGAAACTTCATGATTGGTAACTATTGCTGTCATCTTTCCATAAAATCCTAAATTTTAACATCTAATCACCAAAGTAGCACACACCCTTTGAAAAGTTTATGTTCATTATTACTATTCTGCACAAAATGGTGAAAAATATCAAAGGGAATCATTCTAACAAAAGAGCACCTTTGAAAACACAAACCAAACAATTCCATGTCTAGGAAATCGAATGCATCCAAAAAAACAGCTATAAAATTATTCAGTAGGAGAACCTAATCAAATTCAGGAGAAGGAAGAATACATACTCGTAGCAGGATTAGACTTCTCTAGAATTTTTGGTGGATGTGGTGGTAACAGTGCCCGGTTTGGTGCTGCTAATGGTGACCTTGCTGAGTTTTTCCCACAAATCCCACCATAAGATTGCTGATTAAGACAGAAGCACATAAATGCATTTATAGATGCATTGTATCCACATCTCCCACCAGATTGTATGCAACTATCACATTTGTCTCCATCCACTACATTCCACCCAACTTCAAAACCTTCATCTAAAACACTTTGTACATCTTTAATGGAACTCTGGATAGCCACAGGAACTGTGATGTTATTCTTGCACCCCAGATCATTCATATAAACCAAATCTGTACTTAACACTAAGTATCCAAAACCAGGATCACCATCTTTGGGGCAGGTAAATTCCATAGTAGGGTCGAAATTCGCAGGAGGTGTAAAAGGAAAAGGATTGCAGTCATATAACAAAGTATAGTTATGATCATTGGAAGTGTAGTTGAAGAAAGAAAAGTCCAAGCTGACATTGATATACTGTTTCGGACAATGGTCAGCACCCCATAAATCTAACCTTGCAATCTTCAAAATTTGAGACGTTTGATTCATGTAAAGGACTAGGAAATTCTGAGACATTATTTCAATAGTCACGTTGTCTTGTTGGCAATCAAGCTTGAACATTGGATGCCCACAATAATCTGGTTGGTTGTTATTCCAGAAAGGGTAACTAATGTTATTGAAATTCCCACAGGTAAAAGGTGCACAATCTGTGTACCCTTTGGCATCAATAGCCAAATATGTTGGGAAGAAGAGTGAGAGGAGGAAAAAGGTCTTGATGAAGAAAAAAGAAGGAGGCATGGGTGGGATTGATGAAAAAGGCTTTGATGATAGAAATCTAAGAGGGCCTAACTAGCAGATGAATTGTGTTGGGTAGGTGAAAAATTAAGTAAAGTACAATTTATATCACAGTCAAGCTTAATGACGTTCAACTTGTTTGGTAGCTTTATATAAATGGTGTTGACGATGTTGAAGGACATAAAAAAGGAGTACTATGAGTCCAATAATGTTTTGGTTTTGCTATTATCTATATGTGTATTAGGTTATATTTATAAAAAAAAAAAAAAAAATGTTTACAAACTATTATATTATATATATTATGAATAGTATATATATATATATATATATATATATATATATGGATATGGATATGATCAATTTGAATAAGTGTAATAATAATAATTCTTACACCAAATTTTAACAGTTGATTTTCGTTCATTTAACGGTTGAAATTTATTACAAGGTAAAACTTATTCATAGGTTGTGGTGTCTTTGACTTCTTGTCCCATAAGTTATTTTGTGACTAGTATTTTTTCAAGTTCTATTTAATGATATGAATGCAAATTTAATTAAGGAGAATGATAAAAGAAACATGAGAAAATGGACAAAATACAAAATATATATAATCAAATTGGAACTGAATACTACAAGCAGGCAAGTATGGATTGACCATTTCAAAAACAATGGTTGTGCTTTACTGGAGAACCGTTGTTCAAAACTGATTGCTCAAGACGCAAACTGATAATACATTAATTAAGGTACCAAAACTCTCTACCTACCCGTTTTTATTTTTTATTTTGTTTTCCCTTTTCATTAAAAAAAATCATTTTTTTACTACTGTTATCCTTAAAATAAAGGAATAAGTCTCCTACTAGTATTTCTCTTGCAATGTTAGGTACTCGGTCGATATATGCATTTATTCTAAACAAAAAGATTTTATATAAAAAGCAACTCAAAAATGCTGGTGCAAAGTTGGGCTAAGGGGATTTGAAATATAGCATTGTTTTTGTTTCTGTCAGCTCCACTTCTATTACTGTGTCAGCTAAACAAACAAAATATGTAGAATAAATAATTCATTCACTCATCCAACAAATATGGCTGTCCTTATTTATTTATTTTTGGTTTTTTGGTTTCTCAAGGTATCCTCCAGCCGACAACCGAAGACTAATCCTTTCGAAGCGGGAGATCACATTAAGTAAGTAAATCTCTCCCACAAAGCCTTCTCCATACACACGACTGTCCTTATTTTTTTGTCGGGTTATTCTCTGATTAATACAACCAAAAACTATGAAGTATTCTGTGTTCTTATTTTGGCTAGTAAGTTTTTCTTTTGGGTCCATAACTATCCGAACGGCCCATACTTATGCTAGACGGGCAACCCAGTGGTCATGTTTCTCATGTCCTAAGCCCAAGACCCATTTCAATTCCTGACCCATATACCCAACTAAGTCCCCAGTTAATTCTCCATTCAGGACCCAGTACACAATCAAGTCCTAAACCCAAATAGTTGTGGATATGAAATTGAAAAACAAATTAAATATTAATGATAAAATATTCGACTTTAAAAGAAGTAATCTTTCAATTGATTGATCAAATTAACCAACCCAAAGATAATAAATTCGATTATTGAGAATCCTAATTCTTGAAAAGAGTGAAAAGGTTCAAATCTAAAAGTGAATTAGTCGGACTTATTAAAATTTTGGTTGGTATCTACCATAAAAAAAAATTAACCAATAACTATTCATCAATAATTTTGAAACAATTTTTTTTCGGTTATGCAATTAATTATTCATTTAAAAGAATTCATGATTACTTTTTGATAAATTTAATTAGGCAAACGTAAGCTGTGGGTTTTGACTTTTGAGCCACCCCCAACCACCCATACCCACACCCACACAGCACACACATATATATAAATTCTATTAAAATAATAAATACAATAATATAAAAGGGTATTACTTTTCTGCAAATGGCAGAAAAGTAATGTCTGCCACAAAAATCTTTCCTTTTAAAAAAAGTAGGATCTAATAATTTAAAAATATATATATTTATATATTTCAAAAAGTACATTATATATAACAAAAAACTATTTCTGGATTTAAAAATACCTAAACATTATTTGGTCAAGTACAGCCTGCTACTTATAATATAGTCAATATCATAATTGATGTGACGATTTTTATATTCTGACATAATCTGCGGTCCACCAAAAATATATTAAAGAAGTAAACTTGGATACTCTAAACTACACCAATGCAACCAAAGATATCAATCAAATAAAGCATCCAAAATGAACTACAACATCAAATCTAGCCATTAAGTTAATCTATGGACAAGTATAAAGTGTTGAACATTAATTAATAAGCAAGTTCTAATAAATTAAATCAATTGAAATTTGCATGCTTACTAATACTTCTGAAGATGAGCAAAGATTGCACAAATAGAAAATCTAAACACTTTTCAACAAGCTAGAATGAGCGTACCTTTTTTGCAACTTTTGGCAGAAACACTGCCATCTCTGCATATGCACCTTGATTGCTTAATTGTTTGATCATATCCACAATATCCACCATACAGCTCACACTCTGCACAATCCACAGCTTTCATCCAATCAAGAACAAACCCTTTATTCATAGCAACACCAAACCCAGATATCAAACCACCAATACCATTACTATCAATCTCATCATCCTTCACTGTCACCACAACATGTTCCTCACAAAGCCTATTCCAATCATAGCCATCAGCTTCATCACCAGCCTTAAACACATAGGACTTCATGTTATAATCATTTACCAAACACCCTATAGGATCCACATATGAAGGGTAAGAACTACAATTGAAGTAGAAACTGAGATTCAAATCTAATGAGCTAAAAGATAATGGAAGATTTGCTATGGTAACATTGTTTTTCGCCCGTGGACATGGTTGGTTCATTACATCTATGTCAACAAGGGTAATTGAATGATTGTCATAGTTTATATCTGTAACAAAGTATGTATCACTTGGTAGAGTTATGATGGGTTGGTTTTCCGAGCATTCTAGGCCAAAATCCGGATAACCGCAAAATTCTCCGGCGACGGTGGTGTTGGACCGTTTCCAAAAAGGGTAACGAATTGAGATGTTACCACAAACAGAAGGGTTACATATTGTTGATGTATTAAAGCTATCAGCATAACATGTCATGAGGATGATGGACAGAGCTAACAGAGAGTGCAAGGGTTTTGACATGGTTTAATGTACTTAGTACTTGAGCAAGTTGAGATGATAGTTGCATATATAGCTGTAAATTTTTTCCTATGTGATGATGCAGTCAAAGGAAAAAACTCTAGGTATAATTATTTAATTAGACAAAAAATAAGAGGGTCCATGTTTGAGTGGGAAAAGAATCTATCTGCTTAAGTGGCACGCACGTAGGTTACGTATTATATGATTCTTTTGGCACTTTGTAAAGTCATTTTATTTCATCATTACGTGGAATTCTTATATAATAAGGCTTATAGGGAGTTTCTATGTGCATGGTGAGGTGATTCAAAAGACTATATTGGAGTTGGTGCCCAAGTTTAATTTGAACCGAGAAGAAGTCAAATGTGAAGCTGAAAATTATATAAAATTTTGGGGAATGATGACCGAAGACGCGGTTGTACACAGTTCAATCCAATGGGTTTTTTTTCTTGGTACAATCAATGGGTTATTTTTAACTTTGAAGTCCTATTGGTTTTAGAAAAATCTTTGGGATGTGGTTATTAATGAAAATCATCTTTCATGAATAAAAAATTCAGAAGCGTGTGCCTGCCACGTTCCCTTGGATATTATTAACCTCCCTCGTTGCATCGGTTCACTACTTTTAGTAAAGTGAAAGTAGATGTATTGATGAGCTGTCAGTTGTCAGAAAAAGCAGGAACAGCAAGTACATATAATATGATCAAAATTTTGCAAATTGTGGTCGATTGTATTAAATGAATTAACCAATCTATGGGCCGGACCGCTGGACAGGTCAGGACGTTCGGAATAAATATCCGGTAATATTGTTGTATCAAGATTCAGTGTATTTTATTAATAGGAGCATTATACATCGTAGAAGAGAAAAAAAAATTTGGCAGAGAAAAAAAAACTTTAGCTGACATGTAATATTTCTATTGGTGGAATGTACTGAATTTTTTGTGCAACAATAACGCCAGAGATTTATTCAACGTTCAGCGGAAGAGTGACTAAAGTGTTATATTTTGGAAAAAAAATTTATTCAAATGTCACTCAAAATATTTTTTATCAGACTATCACATGACGTAATTTGCTATGACAAGTAGCGAACTTCGTCGTCTATGATTTCGTGATACATAGTCATATTGCGTACCAAATTCACTACCACTAGTAACGAACTTCATCTAGTCAACTTTTTTTTTTGCAAAAATGGTCTACGTGTCACAAAATCATTGACGAACGTCATTCGCTACCAGTCGTAGAGAATTACGTCACATAACAATCTTGTAATAAGTATTGTTTGCGTGGCGTTTGTATATAAAATTTGCCAAAAAATATATTTTGGTCGATGTTCCACGTTTAGCTGGGTAACATGTCGTATAACTTATTATTATTGGATAAAGGCAAAATCTTCACCTAACAGCTTATCTTTTTAGGTGAGATAATTATTTATCAACTATCATAAGATAATATTTATCAATTATGCATATAGAAATATAAAATACAAGAGTAAAATTAAAAAAATTAAAAAAGAAGATCATAACAAGAATAAGGTGACATCTATGAGAAAAAAATTGATACCGTTTTAATGTGTAATATCCCGAGCGATGATGAGGGCGGGGAGTGATCACCGGTGCGAAAGGGCATGGAAAAGGAGCGGCTCCTGACAGGCTTCCAGTATGGGGTTACATGCATGAATGAATCAAATCGACACCCGAAAGAGAGGGATTCTAAAGACTGTGCAGGTGTGAGACTGCACAGTTTGGGATAGCTTATAAGAATTAATTGGTACTACCTATACTAACAAGATACATCTTTTCGGTAGCCCGAAATGGAAGAACTCCATAGTTAAGTGTGCTTGACTTGGAGCAATTCTGGGATGGGTGACCTCCTGGGAAGTTTTCCCGGGAAGTGTGCGAGTGAGAAAAAAGCACACTATCGTGTTAGTATGTGGCGATAGTCGTTGATTCTTGAAGCGGCTGGGCGTTACAAGTGGTATCAAAGCAGGGCCTCTCTTCCAGTACGGTGTGGTTCGAGGACGAACCAGGCGGAAGCTGGTGGGCATGTAACATCCCGAGCGCTAATGAGGGTGGGGAGTGATCGCTGGTGCGAAAGGGCATGGACAAGGAGCGGCTCCTGACAGGCTTCCAGTGTGGGGTTATCGAATCGACACCCGAAAGAGAGGGATTCCAAAGACTGTGCAGGTGTGAGACTACACAGTTTGGGATCACTTATAAGAATTAATTGGTACTACCTATACTAACAAGATGCATCTTCTTTTCGGTAGCCCGGAACGGAAGAACTCTATAGTTAAGCGTGCTTGACTTGGAGTAATTTTGAGATGGGTGACCTCTTGGGAAGTTTTCTCGGGAAGTGTGAGAGTGAGCAAAAAGCACACTGAAAAGTCTCGTGTTAGTATGTGGGGATAATCGTTGATTCTTGAAGCGGTCAGGCGTTACAAGTGGTATCAGAGCAGGGCCTCTCTTCCAGTACGGTGTGGTTCAAGGACGAACCAGGCGGAAGCTGGTGGGCATGTAACATCCCGAGCGCTGATGAGGGCGGGGAGTGATCGCCGGTGCGAAATGGCATGGACAATGAGCGGCTCCTGACAGGCTTCCAGTGTGGGGTTACATGCATGAATGAATCGAATCGACACCCGAAAGAGAGGGATTCCAAAGACTGTGCAGGTGTGAGACTGCACAGTTTGTGATAGCTTATAAGAATTAATTGGTACTACTTATACTAACAAGATGCATCTTCTTTTCGGTAGCCCGGAACAGAAGAACTCCATAGTTAAGCGTGCTTGACTTGGAGCAATTCTGGGATGGGTGACCTCCTGGGAAGTTTTCTCGGGAAGTGTGCGAGTGAGGAAAAAGTACACTGAAAAGACTCGTATTAGTATGTGAGGATAGTCGTTGATTCTTGAAGCGGCCGTGCGTTACATAATGCAAAAAAGTATATACAATAACTAATAAGTAGTTAACTTAAGAGCTAGTTTGCAACCACAAAAAAATACTTAAGAGCTGGTTAACTCAACTAATAAAGTCATTGGCAAGTAATTTGGGTGTACTATTTTTTAAAGAAATTTTTCGATTTCACCAAGATCAAAAGAATTTTTTGAATTAATTAGATCTTTTTAACTATTTTAATAGATGAAGGAAGTACTTGACCACTCTGCCGAAAAACAAAAAAAGAGAGGAAGTACTTGGCTAAAAACAAAAAATTGCGAGCTAAAATATAATGCGTCAATTAATTATATGATTGGTTAATTAAAACGCGTCTTCTTGTCTGACTTATCTCTCCAATCCAACTTGTTAGAAATTATTCACCTTCCCTACAATTCCTGTGTACTTGGGGGACAATTAAGTTTACCTCGTTTTCCTTGAATCCCTTGTGTAACCCTAAAAATTTATAAAACTGGAGATAGATTACAACTATTATGTCTTGAGTATTAATTAATGTCGAATTTGATAAGTTGTTTTCCATTCATATTTTAGCCCTTTTTTCATATATTCCTTCCTTATAAATCAAGCCAATGTACTATTTAATTTTTTGAAATGATTGGCTATTATAACTATGAAGAGTGGGAATAAGATGGAGCCTATTTTTTTTTATAAACCACATATATCTTTTACGGGATACACTTTCATTCAAGTCGAGAATAAAATGAAGTCTATGTTAATGACAACTTCAATAGTAAGATTTGAGTGAAACATGAACCCTTATTTTCTACCTTATATCTTTTCTCATTAAAAAGGGGTATAGACTATGTTTGTAAAAAAATTTAGGTTTAAGACAATTAAGCATTTGATAGCTTAATTGTTTGGTTTAACATTTGGCTAATTCATTGAGCTAACGAGGTTTCAAAGTCCCACGGATGTTACTTCTCCGAGATACAAATCACTCTAGGTGTTTATTTTATACAAATGTCACAAATAATATGATATAATATTGCTCTTGACACAGAATCAAAACAAACGTTATCTAATAAAGCAGTTTTATTTAAACATAATCAAATAAACTCAAAAGTTAAAACAGTTTTTCTGAAGTAGAAACACAAAATTATGGAAATCAACTTAGAACACTTTTTGCCATGTAGTTTAGTTGACTTTTCTGCAATTCATTCTTATCTCACCAAAGTTCCCAGTAAGAGGCTTCATGTTACCCATCTTGATCATGGAAGCTTTAAAATCTCTGGCAAAAGCAAATGGGTTCTTGCTATATAGCTGCACCAATGCATCACTTTCACTACCATCTCCTTTGAAGAGCTCTTGATCAGAATGGAGGAGACCCCTTTTACTCAGCAAAGCCTTATAGTATGAAGTGTCAAATCTTGTAGGAGTGGCATGATCCAATGCCACCAAATTGTTATCTCCACCACTTTTAGGACACATACCCTGCAAAGCAGATGCAAACTTTGGGGCTATGTTGGTGTCATTATAGATCCTGCTCTGAAAGGTTGAGCAGTGAGCAAATCCAATGGTGTGGGCACCAGAGAGAGCTACGAGATCTTTGAGGTCAAGACCATGTGATTGAAAATTAGAAAGAAGCTGGGAGAAGGTTAAAAAAGGAGCAGGAAGATTGGAGTTTGCAGCATCTTTGCTAGCAGTTCTTGCATCTCTTCTGCCTAGTAACACATTGAACCAATAGCGTGAACCTCCCAACTGTTAACAAAACACCATACTCCGTTAGTATTCCGAATGTTTGTGTTAAAGAGATATAATAAAATTATTTATTCGCGTTTAACTTAAAACTTTTAAGAGAATTAGTTGTGTGACATGGAGATCATCTTCTGTACATATGTAGTATGTACATCTGCTATTCAACAAGTGACACTTAGATAAAAAAAATATTTTTTTCTTCTTTTCATACAAGCATGATAGTCATTCCTTAATTTTTATTGGATAGATGCATTGAGTAAATGGTACAACAGTAGTACCATAGATATTTCCCGTGACATGGTATTTGTGATCGAGTGGTATAGGTTTTCATTCTTGCTACCTCCAATTTTTAATAAAAAAATGAAATTTCATCACAAAATAAAAAATAAGTCTATTTATTATCAATATTTCAAAGCCCAAAGGGTTCTTGCATAATTAAGGAATGCAAGAGTATTAAGATTATTAATTGTTGCACCTTCACCTTACAACTTAAGTTTTAAGGAAAGTTAATTGCATTGAAATTGAGATTTGATAGGGAAGACTTTGTCATTATGTGATCATATTCGGCTCGAACCAGACTAATTGAATAATCAATGAACCGATTGATAATATTTAAAAAACAAAAAATTGAGATTTAACATTTAAATGATTAACATTTAACCAGAAGTGAGATAATTAAAGATTTGTAGGACACTCACTATGGACACAGAATCACGAGCGGCTATAGCTAAGATATCTGCACATGATACCACAGGGCGTTTGCAAGCTTTGTCAACTGCTGCTTTAATTTCATCAATCACCTCCAAACCTCTAATTGAACCCATATTTGGGAATGCAGTCTTCTCGCCAATGAAGTTTGGGGTGTCATCCAGCAGAACTGATCCATCACAGCCCTATAGTTTACAGCCATGCATAGACATTTCAGTGCATAATAATATATAATAGAAGTGACATGGTTGCAACGTATTAAACTTCAAAAAAAAAAAAAAATCTTGTTTACATATTGAAGACTAATGATACTTTACTGTAACGAAATCAACTTGGCATGCATAGTCAAATTGGCAACTTTAATTTGGATGTAAAAGAAACCAAAATAAATTAGGCAACATGATAGTGAACAATATGTAATTGATGACTCTAGACCATATATATATATATATATATATATATATATATATATATATATATATATATATATATATATATATATATATATATATATATATATATATATATATATATATATATATATATATATATATATAGGTAGGATCCTTCGACACCAATGTCAAATTTCAAATTTGACACCTCATCTGAGAGCCGTTAGATCAAAAAAGATTAATGGTGTCACATGCTTACAAATCAGAGTTGTTGATCTTTTTTATCTAACGGCTCTCAGATGAGGTGTCAAAGGATCCTATATATATATATATATATATATATATATATATATATATATATATATATATATATATATATATATATATGGGTAATAGTTTTCTCACGTAGCAGGAGATAATAATTATCTCCTACTGATTCATTTGTATAAGTGGGTCCACTTTTAAGATAAGAGAGAGAAAAAGTAAAGTAGGACCCATCTTGAATTTGTGTGTGTAGGAGATAAATTTTTTCTTATGTAACATAAGAATAATAAATATATATATATGAGGTTTGTTTTTCTCATGTTGCATGAGAAGACAAACCCTTCCTATACACACCATAAAAAGGTGTGCCACTCATTTTTTTTGTTTTTTGTTTTTTTTAAATAGATGGGTCCCACATTTAATGTATCTATGACATGAGATTTGAATTCTCCTACAATATAATATTTACTTTTCCCTATATATATATCATGGAATTGATACTTACATTGACAAAACAGTCGTGGAAATGTAAACGAAGTAAAGATGCTCCCATGCGTCGTTCACGGGATATTGCATTCTTAACAACTGATTTAATGATTGGCAATGCCTGATGGCAAACTTCGTTGTAAAAATCAGGTGTGAGTTGTGCATGAGAAGGATTTGTGAGAAATGTGGTCATAACAAACAAAAATAAACATTGGAGATGGAAAGCCATTTCGTTTGTATGAGGCTCGATCTTAGATAGGGTATTGATGTGTGAGTTACATGTAGGTAGGGGAGGATTTATATAGAGAAAAAGGAGCAATTAAGTACTTCCAATTAGCTTACTTGCTTGAGTTATCAACATAATATTTTATATCATCGTGTTCCAACTTGATTTCGCTCAATACCGTTGATCCAAACCACGTAGGAGAAATGTTCAAATGTTGACCCCACACATCTCTATACAGTGCATGCGATATTGATTATCATTAGATAATGCATGCCAGCGAGAAATGGAAAAGTCACATATTAAGCCAAAAATAAGATTTTTAAAAATAGTAATAATAATAATAACACAAAGAAAGAAAGAAACGAACAGAATAAATTTGTATGAAGCTTCTACTCAAGACTTGACTAATCTTTTTCGGGTATTGAAAAATAGAAAAATATATATACACAAGTTTTGAAATACATCTCACCCAAAGATATATATATATATATATATGATTGTGTTCAATATATAAAAAAAAAGTATAGGTATGAGAGAACTGCTGTTTGTGCAGTGGATCATTCATATTCAACTACGAGTCGGAAAGACAAAAGACAATACCAACTTTTCTTATGTTTTGAGTAAATTCAATATAGATACATGCATGCTGTGAGCCTAGTTGCCTAGATGCTAACAGTTTATCACATTATCTATTGTTTATGAATATAATAAATACATATCGACAAATTAAACCAAGTAAAGTTGAAAACATTGGCACGAAAAACCTCGATCAATTCCGCAATATTAAAATAATTAAGAGCAAATCATATCTTTTGATTTCCTTTTGTGTAGTACACTAGTACTACGTACTACCATATAATTACGGGTTTATATTTAAATAACCTAAAGTTTATATTATATAATAACAGAAATATTAAGTGAGGGCATGATTACTATGAAAGTTAGAAAAATAAATCTTAGTATTTAACCTTTATATGAATGATAAAAATTAAAAGTTATTTTAAATTATATAACTACATATATTTAATATTTATTATACATTTTTAATAGGGATGATAATTCGAATTGATGAATCGTATTTGGATCAACACACATTTGATACAAAGACGAATATTTTTAACTCGAACATGATATTAATAACTCGTAGTAAAACCTTCCATACTAACATGACTGCTTATAAAGACTCTAAGAGGGCGTTTGGTACAGGAGAAATTTTTATTTGTCCGGGAATCTCAATTTTTAAAAATATGATTTTTACATTCAGTTTACGATAATATTCGAAAATTTAAAATTTAGAAAAATTCAGTTTCCCGGGAATCCGGCCAAATGCCGCGTACCAAACGCCCCCTAAGACTTGGTGTCAATAGCCAACCTAGAAAATTTATAAAGAGGGCTAAAAAAAGGGCAAGCAGCTAATTCAAAGAAAATAATCTCAAATATTTTTAAACATGTCAAATTTTAAGGTTAGCGAAAATCAGCTGGTTAAAAAATAAATAAAAAAATCAAACACCATTTTAAATTTTTTAAATATTTCAAATTTCAAGGAAACAATCGCCTTCGGTAACCATCTCTAGCTCCACCTTTTCTTGCCCAAGTCTTCTCAAGTGAGAAGAAGTCAAATGTGAAGCTGAAAATTATATGAAATTTTGGTGGATGATGACTGAAGACGTGGTTTGTACTTTGGTCACCGTAAATTTGGTATCTCTTTCATTCATATTGTGACACATATTTTATTTTTGTCAAATCTATAATAAATAATTTATTTTAAAATTAAAAAAGAGAATGATTTAATATAAAATAAAACACGTGTCACAAAATAAGTGAAAGATGCACCGAATTTTCGATAGATCTGTAATACTAAAATATTCTCGAACAGAGTTCAATGGTTTATTTTCAACTTTGAAAGTCCTATTGGTTTTAGAAAAAAATTTGGGATGTGATTATTAAAATCATGTTTCATGAATAAAAAATTCGGAAGCGTGTGCCTGCCACGTTCCTTTGGATATTATAAATTTCCTTCATTGCATCGGTTCATTGCTTTCCGTAAAGTGGATGCAAATGTATTGATGACCTGTCGGTTGTCAGATAAAGCAGGAACACCAAGTACATAAAAAATGATCAAAATTTGCAATTTGTGGTCGATGGTATTGAATGAATTAAGCATTCTGTGGGCTGGTTAGTCACAAGGTATGAATGGACATCTATTTTTCTGAAGAGGTGAATAGGTGAAATATATATATGTTGATTTGACGATGATGAAGGAGATAGTGGTATGGATTAAAAATTTTGAGAGTCATCGTACTAGCCTCAAGCTGGCTAAGGATGATGGGAGAAGGTGTTTGAGCTCGATTATAGTTGTAGTGTGAATTTAAAAGAATAATAGTAAATGTATGCAATGGAGAACAAGATCATTTGATGAGGTTGGCCCCTCTATTTATAGGATGATGGATATTTCCTCTCTACATAAGAAGCGTGATGTCATAATCATTTTAGTCATGTGGGACATACTTTGGTGTGAGGCTGTGTGACCTATGATGTGTAGAGATCTTGCGTGCGTGCGAGGTGTGAGGGGATACGTGCATAAAGGAGTAATATGCTTAATGTTGCAACTTTGGCAATTGTACCGGTCATAAAAGTAATAAAATATGTGAGTAAAATATTATTCCCACGAGGATTAGAATTCAACCATTATTCACTATTTACGTTTAAGTTTTACAATTGATCAAGAGAATTTAATGAAAACTAGTTTTTTTTTTTTGGTACGAGAAAATGGTATAGCCTCAACAACAACAACAAAAAGTAAGAAAAAAACTAAAACAAACTAGCCAGGAGCCAATTCATAAGGAAGCGATGCTGAATCCTGAATATCCAGCATCAATAGCCGATGTAGGTCCCTCAAAGGATAGGGGCGGAAGGAGGTGCTTTAAGGTTTAGATAGAGCACTTTTAGTAAGCCAATTTGCACATCTATTGAATTCTCTGTTAGCAAAGAATAAAACAGTGTCCCACTTTCTATCAAGGAAGGCTTGAATCCTAATTACCAGGGGTAATTTTCGAGTATCATTACCACAAGTGGTAAGCAAGTTTATAGCTTGAGAGGAGTCACTCTCAACTATAACTTTAGGGAGGCATAATTGTCAGGCCAAAGTTAGACCATGGTAGATAGCCCAAAGCTCAACAAGAAGGGGTGAGCAGTAGCCAAAAAAAGACTGGAAACCACCTATCCAATTACCATATTTGCTTCTTATAAGACCACCACAAGCTGTCTTATTGCTTGAGACAGCCGCATCCACATTAATTTTCATCCAGTTCAAAGGAGCCTGCACCCAATGAGTCAGCATTCTTGGCCAATGACTTAAAACAACAGGTCCTAGTCTATAAATGGCCTTATTGACCTCTTCGGTGTATTTTTGAATCACATAAGTTTCATTATCAGGTCTTTTATTGTCTCTTTCATGGATATCTTTATTTTTCCATTGTCAAATAAACCAAGAAGATGTGAAGCATAAATCTTTTCAAGTATTGCACCTAACATCATTATACCGTAAACACTTCCTTAGCCAAGTAACCAAATTCTGTACATTAAAGAAGAAAATAGGCTGGGAATAAAATATAGAGGAGTTCCATATCTTAGAGGCAAGAGGACAGTCTCTAAAAACGTGGAGAATGGTCTCAATTTTATCTTGACAATGGTTGCACCGATCAGAGGAGTTCCCCACTTGGCAGTTAGATGTTTAGTGAGAATTCTACCATGAGCTATCTTCCATATAGTAATTTAAACTTTTCAGGGCCTTTCCACTTCCAAATGCAACTTCAAGGAAAGTATGGAGTAAAAGTGTCAAACTGCATTAATCTTGAATATGCCTGTTTAACCAAAGAATTCAAAGGATTCAACCCATTCCAATTCAAAAGATCTTCACCAGATTCAGAAGAGGGAGAGGGGATGGCAGAGATTAAGTTCACAACCACCTAATCAAAGAAATGGTGCAGAAATTAAATTTTCATTAACCTGTTTCTTCTATACTACAATCAGCCACTATATCTGAAAAAAGAAGAGGATGAGGCTCATGAGTAGTAACATTCAATAGATTAGGTATACTCCCTAGCCAGTTGTTAAGAAAAAAATTGGTATTTTCCCATTACCAATGTTCCAAACCAGATTATCCAGCAATGTAGGCCAAATTTTGGGGGGGAAATTTCCATATAATGGAATCATAATTTTTACATAAACAACCTCTGGACAACTCCACATTTTTTCCATATTTAGCAATAAGCACTTGGGACCAAAGTTGAAATGGATCACAGATGATGGATCGGGCCAATTTCAGCAAGAAGGCCTTATTTTGCTTTCTCAAATTGATGAAACCTAGTCCCCCAATGTAATGTCCCACATCGGTTGGAGAGGGGAACGAAGCATGCCTTATAAGGGTGTGGATACCTCTTCTAGTGTGAGGCCTTTTGTGGGGTGTCCCAAGAAACAAAACCGTGAGCTCGACGGTGCTTGTGCGCGGGGCAAAGCGGACAATATCATGCTACAGGGTTTGGGGCTGTTACATTTGGTATCAGAGCCTGGCCCTGGACCGGTGTGTACAGCGGGGACGCTGTATTCCCAGTGGGGGAGGATATAATGTCCCACATCGGTTGGAGAGGGGAACGAAGCATGCCTTATAAGGGTGTGGATACCTCTTCTAGTGTGAGGCCTTTTGTGGGGTGTCCCAAGAAACAAAACCGTGAGCTCGACGGTGCTTGTGCGCGGGGCAAAGCGGACAATATCATGCTACAGGGTTTGGGGCTGTTACACCCAACACTTCTAGGTTTAGAAATTTACACCTAAGATACCAAATGGGAAGATCTCTTCTCTTGAGTGTCCCCCCAAATGAACCTCCTTTGGATTTTCACAATCTCATCACAAATACCAAGAGGGATGAGGTTGTTCTGCATGTGAAACATAGGGATAACAAAGATAACAGATTTAGCCAACATAACTCTACCAACCATAGATAA